AAAATAAATAACGATGCGCACCAGGGCAGCCCTTTTTCTTCGCATGCAAGAAAAGACCAAAACACACGCATATAAGTTGCACGTGTTAAACTGTAAAGCAACAACCATTCATACTGTTAAGGATCTGACTGCATCAAGTTTAACGCAAAAACGCATGGTCGCACGGGCAAAACTGATGCATTGCTAGCTGGGTTTTATTAAAAGGTGGTCCGCGCGCTCAAGTACGTAAATCAGGTCGGCATGTCGCCAAAGGTTGCCCGTGCCTGATTTAAAGCCTCAGATGAGCTGGAAATCTCTTTACCAAGTGAAACGAAGCCAGTATCACCAGTCGATGAAGCACTACTCAAAATACCTGGGAAAGCCAGTAGCTGTATAGGCGAAAAGACAGATGATTAATTTATAGTTGCTTCGGATATGGTAAAACTAAATAAGTGTTCCGCCGTCTAATGTCACCAAAACAACTTTAAATCAGATTTCTCTATTTCGGGCTAATTTCTCGAAGGTTCTGATTTAGATTTCAGTCGTTCACCTGTTTTGCAAGTTGCTGGATGAAACGTTCGAAGTGTTCACGCTGCGATTCGACGTACGCTCGACTTTTGGTATTCGAAGTTCGACGCGGTGGCAATGACTGTGTTTTAATTGTATTTCCATGGAATAACAGCAATTTCGATTCCAGAACATAAAATTCGTTGTAGCGGCGAGCTACCGTCCACTGAAACAAGCCATTCGTAGATAAAGAATAAATTTTAATTTTCACAACAAGCAATTATCATTTACCATTTTGCTTCTCTTCTGAAGCAAAGTGTTGGCAAATTTCTCAAAACAACAACGAGCCCCAAAATGAAAAACATTTAATGTACATTGATAGGAAAGGTTGGCGCAGGGGTATGTAGCTCTAACTGTTAAGCCCAAAAAGCCGATCCAAAACGATAAAGGAAAAAACTTGATTCCTTAACAATTCGTTCCACTCTTAAATAAACTAGTTTTGAGATAGCCAGAGGAAGGGGTGGATGTGGGGAGAGATATTTGCTATATGTCACTACTTGGGATATTTTCGAGGACTTTCGCCTCTCAAAGAATGTAAAATGTTGAGAGGGCGTTGACTTCCGATGTCGTGAAAGTTGAATTTTTACTTTGGTCTGTGTGGTGCTGCCGCAACGTTGCTGTCCATTGTTTTCTTTCACATCGAATCGCTCGACTGATATTATATACACATACATTGTGTGTCCTAGAACAGTATTATTCAGAGAACCGAAAAAAAAAGAAATTTCATGAAATTTTCACGTATTTTGTTCAATAAAACAAAGCGTTTCTTGACACAATAAAGATCAAAACCGATTACCGCTGACAGGATCGCGGCGCGGTTCGATCAGCGGGATGGTAACACTCCATTTGCTGATATCACGTTCAGGATCAAAGAGCGGCACCTCAAATGAGTTACTTGAATTGGTCTGACCTTCAACGAACTCTTCATCCTGCAAGAAATTCTACGCAATACAGTTGACACAGTTGCGTCTTCCAAGCAACTAGAATTTTTATTTAATTGCAATCTATTAAAAATGGCCAAGAAACCCATCGGAAGCAAAAAACAGCAAGAGTTAACTGAAAATCATCTCCCAGTTAAGCGTGGTAGCCGCGTAAGAGCCCGCCAAATTTTTTCTCGATGAGTTCATAACTCGAGAATTTGATAAGCTAGAACGCTCAAATCTTAGGAGGATGTTCCCAATCGAAGTCGGTGTTGAAGCACTGAAAATAAGCCATGAAACAGTCAGCTTTTTTTATCCAGAACCTTCAAAAGGAAAACGTCCAGTATTGTGTTCACCTTAACAAACTGTTTTCAACAAGCTATACGTTGGCACGAAGCCTGGTTCCCTCTTCATAACAAATGAAGAATATATTTTGCGCGCTGACTTGTTGTCCTTGCCATATGGAGACTCAGGACAGCCTCCTGAGGAGGACGGGAGGAACAGAAACTATCGGTGGAACGATGAGCGAGGCGGGGG